CCCTTTTCTGATGAAGGGTCTAGGCCCGAATCGTCAGCCTTTCTGCTCCTATGATGCTGCTTGGCCTGCTGTGTTCATCCAGCTCTGCACCTTGTTGTCTCACATTTTAAAATATAATCTGTTTAATGCAAACTGATCCATACCCCAAGCAATTTCATCATTAATTCACGATCCTCTTCATCTTGATCCTTATATTTTTCTTTAATTTTCTTCAGTTTAGCCTGAATATTGAAAAATAAAGTAATATCGACTTTGAGTCATGAGATGTATCTGAAACCACACAGTAATATTTTCACTTGACTGAAATCCGAGTTTATTGTAGCATCACTGTCATTTGCATCTCAATACCAGTTATTATGACGATATATGGAAGCATACACATAATTATTAGAAAAGTTAACAGAATTCTTTCTAATCTATAATTTTTAAATGGTGCTCATAAAGGTAATATAAATAGAACTCTTCTCATTTCAGGCATCCAGTGTTGTCGTTACACATCACTAAACAAGATTTAGCACAGCGAAATTCAGACTGAAGCTCCCATCAGTTTCTTGAATAACGTGCTTCAGCCTCAAATGAAGAACACACCATCTTTTGCTAATTCTCCAAAAAGGCCACAACACATCAAAGTTAGTGTCAAATTAAAGCTCCAAGTTGGGCTCTGCCCATTGAAAACTGGATTGATCTCTCATAGGACCCTACAGTTAACAGAGTGAAAAATATCACATTAGTCTGGATTAGATTTTAATCCACGATGTAGAATGAAAGCCAGGTTATAATCCATGGCCAGCAACTTTCACAGCATTCTTTTTAATAATATTAAACAACAACCAAAGAAACAGGGATCTTGTCTTTTCTCCCCTAATAACAAATTCCAACCATTTTCAGCCTTAAAACATATCACAGCTTCATAATCAAATAGCTGAAAGCACATGATTAAAAATCAAATGTGAATGAAGAATCCGGCAAAGAAGCTGTAAAATGAGCTGGAGAACTGCCAAACAAACACAAGGAAACTGAAGAAATGGATGGGTGCTGTATTCAAAAATTTATGAAACAAGAATTAATTGTAAAAGGAGTGTCAAAATGACATCCTACTCCAGCTTGGAGATAGATCAATTGCTGAAAGTTATCCAAAACCTCACTTAAGCCAAATTTTAAAAATCAAAGTTTGAGGAACAGACCAAATGAGTTGCTGACAGAAAAGAGTGTTGAAAGTAAAACAAATTTCAGATAAGAGAAATATCCTCTCATCAAGATTTTCAAACATCTAACTGAACAGAAGTTGACATATCTTTATCACATTCAAATTCTGTGTATAGTGATGAAAGTTAATAATATGTCAACATTTGGAAATTTTCATTCTATAGTAGAGGTAAACGGGTTTTTGCTTTAGGTCTGTGAAGGGGGCTTTTTTTTTGCAAAAGGTCAGAAAGTCATTTTTGGACAGAGAGTTCAAACATAATTTCAAAGAAAGCCCATGATTTAAGTAAAATGACTAGCGAGTTACCGGGGTACTTAAGCCTGAAGTGTATCTACAGATGGCCTGGGGCTACAATCAGGTTCTAGTTAAGAATACATGATTCATAGTAGGAGGTCATCACCAGGCTAGCAGAGCTAGAAAGGAATCTTAAACTATTTTAGCAAATCAGTTAGACAAGGTTTATTGTAACTTTCTATCAGAAAAAGTCAGTGAATTAGCTGGTTAGTGAATTAGACAGTAACAGAGAATGACATCTGGTGAACGTACAAAAAGTCTGAAAATTAAAAAATGTTTGTAACCTTGTCTGCTGTGTAAGCAATAAAAAAATGTTAAGATAGGAATGATACTTCACTGACATTGGGTGTCTATAAAACAAATTAGTGGGGAGAAGGGCTGAATCTTTCTTTTTGTTGTTTAAAATAATATTATAATGTAAGACGTGTGATTAAAATGAATGATATTAATATATATGTATTATTATATACGGAGTTTGGAGTTTGAAACAGTGGCATGTGGATTATGGTACGTGTGTATGAGGTGGTTTAATAATTAACTTGAGTTTTCTGAGCCATGATTTTTCAACTGTTGAGAGAGAAAGAGAGAGAGAGAGAGAGAGAGCAGATCCTGGACTTTTAACGGGAATTGAATTGCTCGGAGAGAATTTTGTAATCAGAAAGAGTAAACATTAAAAGGCGTTATCCTGCTTTTTGGTTTTGAAGAATAAGAATGATTTTCTTTTGCTCAGAAGTAAAATCTGATAAATTAGAGAACTTTTGGTTTTGGTTTTCAGAAGACCTTAATGAAGTTAGGTTTAAGAACAATTTCTCCTAGGAGAAAGGAATTCATTCAGAACAGTTAAGCATAGGAAATAGAAGTGGGCCATTCAGCCCTTTAAGTCTACTCCATCATTCAATACAATGGAGTCTGATCATCCAATCAGTACCCTGTTCCCTCTTTTCTTTGATCCCTATAGTGCTAAGAACTATGTGTAACTTCTTCTGGAAAACATACAACATTTTAGCCTCAACTGCTTTCTGTGGTAGAGATTTTCACAGGCTTATCACTCTCTGCGTGAAGAAATTTATCTTCATCTCAATCCTAAATAGTTTGGTTAGAAGCCATTATATTTTACTCTGTATTTTGAAATCTTACTAATTATTTTACATCTAAGTAGCTTGGTTTATTTTATTTTATCTTCATTTCTTTTTCATAATAAACTTCTGTTTTATTGGTAAAACTAAATCAGCAGCATTGCTTCTTGTGTCTCAACGAAATACCACCTTGTGAAGTTGAAAAAAAATCTGATCTATCAAACAAGGTTTTGCTTTGGGACCTGAAACAAAAACAGAAATTGCTGGTATAACTCAGCAGGTCTCGCAGCACTGCGAACACAAATCAGAGTTAGTGTTTCAGGTCCAGTGATCCTTCTTCAGAACACAGACCTCTCCACAGATGCTGTCAGACCTGCTGAGTTTTTAGAGCAATTTCTGCTTTTGCTTCTGATCTCCAGTTCTTTTGGTTTTTTGCTCTGGAACCCGCCTTGCCCAGGTTTGGAGGTCACCTAGAATGACAGGCTGAGCCAGCAAGTATTGGAAATTAAAAATGGCTGCCAATGCACCCAGAGTGGGCAGAATAATTTTTTTTTGTCTGAGACAGTGGGCTCTACACATGAGCGATTTAGAGTCAGAGTCATATAGTTATTAGCTCGCTGAGCCGGTTGTTCTGTGGTGTGCAGATGTTTCAATACCCTTCTAGGCAACATCATCAGTGCAGCCTCTAGTTGAAGCGTTGGTGTTTTGCTTCCTTCCAGGTTTATGAGATCCTCTGGTGTGATGATCTTGTTGCTCCTGGTTCTGTTGTTTTAGTAGCGGTATACAGCACTGAAACAGACTCTTCAGTCCAACCAGTCCATGCTGAACATAATTCCAAACTAAACTAGTCCTGCCTGCCTGCTCCTGGCCCATATCCTTCCAAACCTTTCCTATTCATGTACTTATCCAAATGTCTTTTAAATGTCGTAATTGTGCCCACATCTACCACCTCCTCAGGAAAGTCATTCCACACACGAAGCACCCTCTATTAAAAAAAAATGTGCCTCTCATGTCTTTTTTAAATCTCTCTCCTCTCACCTTAAAAATATGCCCCCTAGTCTTGAAATCTCCCAACCTAGGGAAAAGCCAACTATCATTAACTGTCTCTATCTCTACCCCTCACTATCTTATAAACCTCTTCAGTCCCAGCCTATCCAGCCTTTATTTATAACTCAAACCTTCCATACCCAGCAACATCCTGGTAAGTCTCTCCTGAACCATCTCCAGCTTGATAATATCCTTCTCATAACTGGGCGACCAGAACTGGACACAGTACTCCAGTAGAGCCCTCACCAATATCCTGCTCAACCTCAACATCTCAACTCCTATACTAAAAGCATAATCTACAGACATCCCAATATGAATAGGTGACTTATTTTGACATATCTTGAGATATTGATACGTTAAATAAGTGGCTAAAAGGTTGGCAAATGGAGTATAATGCAGGAAGATGCAAAGTTGTTCATTTAGAAGGGGAGAACAAAAGGACAGCGTATTATTAAATGGAGAAAATTAAGGTCCTTAAAGAGGCAATAGCATTAATGAGGCACTTATGCAGTACAGGTTAAAGACATCTGCAATTGTTTTGGGAATGTGGCCTTTGCTGGCTAGGCCAGCATTTATTTCCCGTTCTCAACTGCCCTTGAGATGATGATGGTGAGCAGTCTTCTTGAATTGCCGCAAAATATTTGATGTAGGTACCCCCACAATTCCATTAGGGAGGGAGTGAGGGAGTTTCAGGACACAGTGACAGCGAAGGATTCATATAGTTTTATAGATCTACTATTACTGAATATCTCATTTGTCAACATCCTGGGAGTTTACCATCAATCAGAAGCTGAACTGGACCAACCATATAAATACGCTGGCTACAAGGAAGGTTAGATGCTAGAAATTCTGTAGCAAGCAACTCACTACGTGACTCCTCAAAGCATATCACCATTTAGAAGGCATCAGAAGTGTGACAGAATAGCAATATATTTCCACTATACAGCAATAGCAATATATTACTTGCTGCAGGATTCCTCGGCTCTGACCAGCTCTTGTAGCCATAATATTTGGCTGGTCCAATGCAGTTTCAGGTTAATGGTGATTTCCCCAGGATGTTGATCATGGAATTCACTGATGGACATTGAGTAGTATTTGTATAGCACAAATCTAACGTGACACTTGTCAGCACAAAACTGGATATTGTCCATGTCTTAATGCATTTGGACAGGGACTGCTTTAATATCTGAGCTGTCACAACTGGTGTTGAACATTGTGTAATTATCAGTGAATGTCCATTTCTGACATTTTCAGGGACGCAAGATCATTGATAAAGCAGCTGATGATTGGGCCTAGGACACTCCTGCAATGATGCTCCATATTCGAGATGACTGACATATCCGAGGCCTTTCAGTTGTTTCAGCAGCGGGAGTCCGGGAGGAAGCGCGAGGGCAGCCTGGGAAGGTAAGCTTCCACCGAATAAATTTGGGAGTTAACTAATACCCGAAACATGACACGCGTAGTGTCTCCCACCCTTCCACCTCCTCTAACCTGATAAT